TTGCGATAAAATGACAGCGGCACATTTAGGCAGTCCTCTGCAGAGACTCGCGCACGTCTTCTCGAATCAGGACACGTGTGTTGACGTAAATTATAATAATTTCGTGAGGAAATACCGAGAGATTTCGTGGGATTCGCCGGCAGCCACGAGTATCAGTGAGTTGAGACAGCTAATGAATTAAATAATTAAATGGCACATCGTATATTGTGCAACAAGAGATGATTTTTGTTATACAGTGAGGCAGTGGTTTCATCAGACCTGCGCGGAATACGGTTACTATCAGACGACGAGCTCAGATAAATCAGTCTTTGGAACGCTATTCCCGTTAGATTATTACATCAACCTGTGTCTTGATTTGTACGGTGATTAGTAAGTATTTTAAAAATAACACCACTTATTATCGCACCAAATTATTTGACAAAGTATGAAATTTTTTTTAATTCTGAGAAACGATTACGCATATAAACTCAATTTTAGTTATAGTAAAAATATATTGGATTCGCGGGTGAAAAGGACAAATATAATGTACGGAGGACAACTGCCGGACTTACAAAACGTCATTTTCACGAACGGTGATATCGATCCATGGCATCCGTTATCGGTGCTCCAGGATTTAAACGCTTTCTCACCCGCTATTCTCATAAACGGTAATTATGCAACGTATTGGGAGAGAGAAACATATCGGAACTCTACGTTTTTTTAAATGTACAATAAAAGGTAATGTAATGGTGTGTAATTATTTTAAAGGATCTTCGCACTGTCGCGATATGTATAGCGATGCACCCACGGACCCGGACGACTTGAAAAAAGCCAGAGCAAAGGTTCGCGACATAATTGGCAAATGGATTTCCTCATAAAAGTCCCCGTCAAATTTCCTACATATACGCCCGTTGTCGATTTTTCAAAAGGAGGACGAATAAACGAAATTTTATTTTTATTTTGTTGTATTAATTGTAAAGCATTAACAAAAAGTTCTGTACAATATTTAATATATATACGTAGTTTATAGTGCAATTTATAATAAATATACGTCAGTTTTACTTGTGTTGCATATTGTTATATGTATATGTACATAATACAAAAATAAAATTATGTCCAATGCTATATTTAAGATTAATCTGAAAGTCTGTGCAATTTCCAAAATAAATTTGTATGTCATGTATGTATGTCCCTTACTGTGCTGCAGAATTAAAATGGAATTACATAGTCAAGTTACATAATCAATCTTCTGGTCTTTTCATATGACCCAATCCTTTACATATTATTTTAAGTAGAAGACCTTAGTCAAGTAGTTTCTCGAAGATTGGAAGAGCACAC